ACAGACGGCACGGGTACAGACAGCATGGGGTTCGGCACGGGTACAGACGGCACGGGTACAGACGGCACGTGTACAGACTACACGGGGCTCGGCACAGGTACAGACTACACGGGGTTCGGCACGGGTACAGACGGCACGGGTACAGACTACACGGGGTTCGGCACGGGTACAGACGGCACGGGTACAGACTACACGGGGTTCGGCACGGGTACAGACGGCACGGGTACAGACGGCACGGGTACAGACGGCACGGGGCTCAGCACGGCATGGGTACAGATGGCACGGGTACAGATGGCACGGGTACAGATGGCATGGGTATAGATGGCACGGGTACAGACGGCACGGGTACAGATGGCACAGGTACAGACGGCACGGGTACAGACAGCACGGGGCTCGGCACGGGTACAGATGGCACGGGTACAGACGGCACGGGGCTCAGCACGGGTATAGACAGCACGGGGCTCAGCACGGGTACAGACGGCACGGGTACAGACAGCACGGGGCTCGGCACGGGTACAGACGGCACGGGTACAGACGGCACGGGGCTCGGCACGGGTATAGACAGCACGGGGCTCAGCACGGGTGCAGATGGCACGGGTACAGACGGCACGGGGCTCGGCACGGGTATAGACAGCACGGGGCTCAGCACGGATACAGATGGCACGGGTACAGATGGCACGGGTACAGACAGCACGGGTACAGACAGCACGGGGCTCAGCACGGGTACAGATGGCACGGGTACAGACGGCACGGGTACAGACAGCACGGGGCTCAGCGCGGGTACAGATGGCACGGGTACAGATGGCACGGGTGCAGATGGCACGGGTAGAGACAACACGGGGCTCGGCACGGGTATATATGGCACGGGTACAGACGGCACGGGTACAGACAGCATGGGGTTCGGCACGGGTACAGACGGCACGGGTACAGACGGCACGGGTACAGACGGCACGGGGCTCAGCACGGCACGGGTACAGATGGCACGGGTACAGATGGCACGGGTATAGATGGCACGGATACAGACGGCACGGGCTTCAGCACGGGTACAGATGGCACGGGTACAGATGGCACGGGGCTCGGCACGGGTATAGATGGCACGGGTACAGACGGCACAGGGCTCAGCACGGGTACAGACGGCACGGGTACAGATGGCACGGGCCTCAGCATGGGTACAGATGGCACGGGTACAGACGGCACGGGGCTCAGCACGGGTACAGACGGCACGGGTACAGACGGCACGGGGCTCAGCACGGGTACAGACAACACGGGACTCAGCACGGCACGGGTACAGACGGCACGGGTACAGACGGCACGGGGCTCAGCACGGGTACAGACAGCATGGGTACAGACAGCACGGGTACAGACAGCACTCGGCTCGGCACGGGTACAGACGGCACGGGTACAAACGGCACGGGTACAGACGGCACGGGTACAGACGGCACGGGGCTCAGCACGGCACGGGTACAGATGGCACGGGTACAGATGGCACGGGTACAGATGGCACGGGTATAGATGGCACGGGTACAGACGGCACGGGTACAGATGGCACAGGTACAGACGGCACGGGTACAGACAGCACGGGGCTCGGCACGGGTACAGATTGCACGGGTATAGACAGCACGGGGCTCAGCACGGGTACAGATGGCACGGGTACAGACGGCACGGGGCTCGGCACGGGTATAGACAGCACGGGGCTCAGCACGGATACAGATGGCACGGGTACAGATGGCACGGGTACAGACAGCACGGGTACAGACAGCACGGGGCTCAGCACGGGTACAGATGGCACGGGTACAGACGGCACTGTTACAGACAGCACGGGGTTCAGCGCGGGTACAGATGGCACGGGTACAGATGTCACGGGTGCAGATGGCACGGGTACAGACGGCACGGGTACAGACAGCAGGGGGTTCAGCACGGCACGGGTACAGACGGCGCGGGTACAGATGGCACGGGTACAGACAGCACTGGGCTCAGCGCGGGTACAGATGGCACGGGTACAGACGGCACGGGTACAGACGGCACGGGTACAGACAGCACGGGGCTCAGCACGGCACGAGTACAGACGGCACGGGTATTGATGGCACGGGTACAGACAGCACGGGGCTCAGCACGGCACGGGTACAGACGGCACGGGTATAGATGGCACGGGTACAGACAGCACGGGTACAGACGGCGCGGGTACAGACGGCACGGGTACAGACAGCATGGGGCTCAGCGCGGGTACAGATGGCACGGGTACAGATGGCACGGGTACAGACGGCACGGGTACAGACGGCACGGGTACAGACAGCACGGGGCTCAGCACGGCACGGGTACAGACGGCACGGGTATAGATGGCACGGGTACAGACAGCACGGGTACAGACAGCACGGGTACAGACGGCACGGGTACAGACAGCACGGGGCTCGGCACGGGTATATATGGCACGGGTACAGACGGCACGGGCACAGACAGCACGGGGCTCGGCACGGGTATAGATGGCACGAGTACAGACGGCACGGGTACATACCGCACGGGTACAGACGGCACGGGTATATATGGCACGGGTACAGACGGCACGGGTACAGACGGCACGGGTTCGATGGTTTCTTTATTGACGTCTTCAGGGCGCGTTGAGCAACTCGCCGTCCTCCCGTGCCCCCCCCCTCCCCCCCCCGCGAGCTGCAACAATCGCCTCGCGTGGTGCGCGCGAACCAACGTGGAGTTCTTTGCGTGGAGTCACTGAGCGCGCCGCGGAACCTCGTCTAGGTCGACTCGGCCTCAAATGAGCGCGCGGTTCGGTGGGTGCACAACGAGCGCCGGGGAGACAAAGGCGGAGACGCGCTGCTGTGGCGCTTGTCTTTGTCTCCGTCTTTGTCTTTGTGTGTGAGTGTGTGTGAGTGTGTGTGAGTGTGTTTGTATGTGAGTGTGTGTGTGTGAGTGTGCGTGAGTATGTGTGTGTGTGAGTGTGTGTGAGTGTGTGTGAATGTGTGTAAGTGTGTGAGAGTGTGTGTGAGTGTGTGTGAGTGTGTTTGTATGTATGTGTGAGTGCGTGTTGTGGGGAGCGGTAGTGTAGCGGTTAGCGCGCTGCGCTATGAACCTGGCGACCCGGGTTCGATTCCCGCTCACGGCCAACACCAGTGACGATTATCTGAACAGGTCCTGGGCCTCCCCCTAGGTCGACTCAGCCTTAAATGAGTACCTGGTGCGCTGTGTAAACATCGCCACTGGGGAGACAAAGGCGGTAGGGCGTGGTGCTGGCCACCCACCCCCTCGTGTACCGTTCCGGCCTTCATAGGTGCTCGCTAACAGCACTTGCCCCTACAGTCTGTTAAGGCTATATAGGGGATCTTTGTTATCTTTGTCTTTGTTTAGTGTGTGAGGGTGTGAGGGTGTGAGGGTGTGAGGGTGAGAGTGTGTGTGTGAGAGTGTGTGTGTGAGTGTGTGTGAGTGTGTGAGTGTATGAGTGTATGAGTGTGTGAGTGTGTGTGAGTGTGTGAGTGATCTCAGTCATCTCAGTCAGTCGACCCGTGGCACCTGGGTCTGCCCCGTGACCTCCTTGCCAGCGGGCGTTCGACACTTCACGTGGCCTCAAGGTGCACATAGCCTGGCACAAGCTATCGTGGTAACGTCACCGCCACTTCGTGGCGAATGGCGGTTGTTGTTGTTGAATGTGTGTGTGAATGTGTGTGAGTGTGCGTGAGTGTGTGTGTGAGTGTGTGTGTGGACAAAGATCCCCAGCATAGTCTTAACAGACTGTAGGGGCAAGTGCTGTTAGCGAGCACCTATGAAGGCCGGCACAGCACACGAGGGGGTGGGTGGCCGACACCACGCCCAGCCACCTTTGTCTCCCTAGTGGCGATGTTTACACACCGCACCAAGTAGTCATTTGATGCTGAGTCGACCGAGGGAAGGCCCAGGATCGGTTCAGATAATTGTCACCGGTGTTGGCCGTGAACAGGAATCGAACTCGGGTAGCTGGGTTCGTAGCACAGGGTAGCGCTAACCGCTGCACCACCGCTCCCCACAAGCGCTAGTGTAGCGGTTAGCGACCCGAGTTCGATTCCCACTCACGGCCAACACCGGTGACGATTATCTGAATCGGTCCTGGGCCTCCCCTAGGTCGACTCAGCCTCAAATGAGTACCTGGTGCGTTGTGTAAACATCGCCAATAAGGAGACAAAGACGGCCGGCCGTGGTTCTGGCCACCCACCACCTCGTGTACCGTGCTGTGAGTGAGTGGATGAGTGGGTGAGTGAGTGAATGTCGTTGTGAGTTGCAGTGTGGTGAGTGGATGAGTGAGTGGATGAGTGAGTGTCCTTGTGAGCTGCAGTGTGGTGAGTTGGTGAGTGAGTAGATTAGTGGGTGAGTGAGTGTTATTGAGAGCTGCAGTCTGGTGAGTGGGTGAGTGAGTGAGTGCCGTTGTGAGTTGTAGTGTGGTGAGTGGATGAGTGAGTGGATGAGTGAGTGTCCTTGTGACACTCAGTGAGTTGCAGTGTGGTGAGTGGGTGAGTGAGTGTCGTTATGAGTTGTAGTGTGGTGAGTGGGTGATTGTGTGAGTATCGTTGTAACCTGCAGTGTGGTGAGTGGATGAGTGAGTGGGTGAGTGGGTGAGTGAGTGGGTGAGTGGGTGAGCGTCGTTGTGACCTGCAGTGTGTTGAGTGGATGAGTGAGTGGACGAGTGAGTTGATCAGTGGGTAAGTGAGTGTTATTGAGAGCTGCAGTGTGGTGAGTGGGTGAGTGAGTGAGTGTCGTTGTGAGTTGCAGTGTGGTGAGTGGGTGAGTGAGTGGATGAGTGAGTGAGTGGGTGAGTGTTATTGAAAGCTGCAGTGTGGTGAGTGGGTGAGTGGGTGGGTGAGTGAGTGAGTGGGTGAGTGAGTGAGTGGGTGAGTGTTGCTGTTTCAAATCAAGATGGTTGCTGTGGTCTTTGTGTGTGACTGTGTGGGCGATTTTGCGGAGGAGGTGGTGGAGGAGGAGGTGTTGGAGGAGGAGGTGGAGGAGGTGGAGGAGGAGGTGTTGGAGGAGGAGGTGTTGGAGGAGGAGGAGGTGATGCGGGCTGCTCAGTAGCGCGAGAGGCGGCACGTGTCGCACTGGCAGCTCCGGGCCGTGAACGCCTCCACCCAGTCCCCGTCATCACCACACGGCACCCGCACCTAGAGTAGCACCATCACACACACACCATCACACACACACCATAACACACACACCATCACACACACCATCACACACACACCATCACACACCCCATCACACACACCATCACACCCACCATCACACACACCATCACACACACCATCACACACACACCATCACACACACACCATCACATACACACCATCACACACACACCATCACACATACACCATCACATACACACATCACACACACACCATCACACACATACACCATCACACACACACCATCACACACACCATCACACACACACCATCACACATACACCATCACACATACACCATCACATACACACATCACACACACACCATCACGTACACACCATCACATACACACCACATCATCATCACCATCATCACCACCATCATCACCGTCATTATCACCATCATCATCATCACCACCATCATCACCATCATTATCATCACCATCATTATCATCATCACCATTATCATCATCATCACCATTATCATCATCATCACCTACTGTGTTATCGTCAGTTTGTCAGTTTCACATGCAGTGACAGTGGTCGTAGGGCTGTCGCGACCAATATAATCCACACCAGCAGTTTTTAATTTGGGTTAGATCGTGTAAATATAAATGCGTCGTTAAACCACGAATTCATATTTTCTTTTTTACAAAAGACTCATTCACATCGAGGCGATCTAAACCCAAACAATCGCGAAACAGACCACTCGATTATGGACGTGTTCTCGTCTTCTGCCAAGCCAACCGGACTTGGCCACGTGGTACATGGGCACGTGGTACGTGGTATGTGGTGTGAGGCCACGTGGTACATGGGCACGTGGTACGTGGTGTGTGGGCACGTGGTGTGTGGGCACGTAGTGTGAGGCCACGTGGTACGTGGGCACGTGGTACATGGCACGTGGTACGTGGCACGCGGTTACGAGCGGCGCGAGCCGTCGCGTGGCCCGCGGAGCCGCGAGGTGCCGGTGGTGCCCCCCCCCCCTCCGCTACCTTCTCGAGGCGGCTCACGGTGCAGCACTGCGCCACCGAGGTGACGTTGTGCCGGTAGCCGGAGGCGCGCAGCACCGAGAAGCGCGAGGGGAAGGCGCTCGACTCGCAGAAGCCCACGCAGGCGCTCAGACGCGCCGGGCAGCTCCAGCGGCCGCCACGCGCCACCACCGCCACCGCCACTTCGAACGCTGCGGGGGGGGAAGGGGGGTAAATCAAACGGGGCAGCTGCCACCAGCCCAGAGACTCACATAGACCCCCAGCCTCCCACAGCTCACAGCTGCCACCAGCCCAGAGACTCACATAGACCCCCAGACTCCCATACCTCACAGCTGCCACCAGCCCAGAGACTCACATAGACCCCCAGACTCCCATAGCTCACAGCTGTCACCAGCCCAGAGACTCACATAGGCCCCCAGACTCCCATACCTCACAGCTGCCACCAGCCCAGAGACTCACATAGACCCCCAGACTCCCATAGCTCACAGCTGCCACCAGCCCAGAGACTCGCATAGACCCCAGACTCCCATAGCTCACAGCAGGCACCAGCCCAGAGACTCACATAGACCCCCAGACTCCCATAGCTCACAGCTGCCACCAGCCCAGAGACTCACATAGACCCCCAGACTCCCATAGCTCACAGCAGCCACCAGCCCAGAGACTCACATAGACCCCCAGATTCCCATAGCTCACAGCAGGCACCAGTCCAGAGACTCGCATAGACCCCCAGAATCCCATAGCCCACAGCTGCCACCAGCCCAGAGACTCACATAGACCCCCAGACTCCCATAGCTCACAGCAGGCACCAGTCCAGAGACTCACATAGACCCCCAGACTCCCATAGCTCACAGCAGGCACCAGTCCAGAGACTCACATAGACCCCCAGACTCCCATAGCTCACAGCAAGCACCAGCCCAGAGACTCACATAGACCTCCAGACTCCCATAGCTCACAGCAGCCACCAGTCCAAAAACTCACATAGACCTCCAGACTCCCATAACTCACAGCAGGCACCAGCCCAGAGACTCGCATAGACCCCCAGACTCCCATAACTCACAGCAGTCACCAGCCCAGACTCACATAGACCCCCAGACTCCCATAGCTCACAGCTGCTACCAGTCCAGAGACTCACATAGACCCCCAGACTCCCATAGCTCACAGCTGACACCAGCCTAGAGACTTACATAGACCTCCAGACTCCCATAGCTCACAGCTGCCACCAGTCCAGAGACTCACATAGACCCCCAGACTCCCATAGCCCACGGGGCAGCTTGCATCAGCCTAGAGACTCACATAGACCCCCAGACTCCCATAGCTCACAGCTGGCACCTGGCTCACAGTGCGATTTGTCTCATTGCCACTGGGTAGGTTAACATACAACGGGGTAATTCACCAACCCGCACTGACCAGCGTGGTGAAGTTTGGTCAATCAATCCTCGTGACTGACAAATAATTGAGTCGAAGTGACGTTCCAGCTCGAATGAGCGGTGCACATCGTCCCGTTTACAGCCCCGAGGCAGGGCGTGGACATTCCACATTCCTATGGTGGGGTCGAGTTTATCCATAGGACAACCGCTGTACACTTTCCAACAAGCGGTATTACCCAGGAAGAAGATTTTAAGAAATAGTGCTCCGTGAATTTTGCAATACTCACAGAGCGCCTATTAGCCTGGGGAAGCCTCACAGAGTCTTGGAATTATCAACAAAACATTTCAGCAGGGCCCCGCTCCACAGGGAGGTTTGGAAAATTACCACCGCGAGGATTTTGCTTTCTCGCGGAAGGCAAAACCCACGCCGCATACGTATTGGGGGGAGAGTGACAACTCAAAATCTCCCCACGTGCACATTTTCAAGAATCCATTGGTGCACCTCCATCTCCTTGGCCCCGACCCGGTAACACCGCCAGCGCCCCCAGCGTGCCAGGGCTGGGCTGCAGCCTGACTCCGGGGAGGGGGGGAGGGAGGGGAGGGAGGTGGGGGCATCTCGTTGCTTCTCTGAGTGATGTCCAGGGGATTCCTTCCCCGCCCCCTTCACTCCAAGCGTGATGCGACCGATAGGGGTCCAGTCGGCCACAATGAGGTCCCCCAGAGACAACAGGTAAACAAATATCAACTTAAATTCAACATTCATTAAAAATCGCCTGCGCTCTACCGTGGAGCAAGACCCCATTGACGCATTTGGCTATCGCGTCAAGAGAGCAGCAATGACGTTGGGAGATCCACAACCCCTTTTTGAAGAAACCCTAGACCGATGGGGCCCGCCATGCAAGCAAGACGCACGACAACTAGATTGTGAGCATCGTTTCCTTTACATCTTTTATCGTATTAACACTTTCATTGTCAGACTGTCTTGCTCTAAACCCCAATACACGGTGCAGCAAACCAAAATAATATATACAGTAGAGTTATAGCTTCACATATTATTATTGTTATATACGGGGTTAAAAACATCGCGTAGCTATTTCAGTTAAAAGTGAGTCGGGAGAAAGGAGTGAGGCCCACCAGTGGTATCTTATATATAGAGCATACAATAATATGTAGTTATAGCCTACATATTGTTGTATACTAATAATATATGTGTGTAGTGACATAGCGCTGACTGCTGGACAGCAGCAGCAACTGCAGGTGGGCACTTAGCGCACACGCCGCTGAGCGTACACGCGGTGTGTGTGTGTGTGCCGGCAGGGTGGAGGAACTGGGGCAAGGGTCACAATAGACCTCGTGTGGAAGCCCCTGGAACCCTCTAGAGGGTTCGAGAAGGGAAGCTGGAACCCTCTAGAGGGTTCGAGAAGAGAGGCTGGAACCCTCTAGAGGGTTCGGGAAGGGAGGCTGGAACCCTCTAGAGGGTTCGAGAAGAGAGGCTGGAACCCTCTAGAGGGTTCGAGAAGGGAGGCTGGAACCCTCTAGAGGGTTCGAGAAGGGAGGCGCGGCTAGGGCGGAGCCAAGCCGCGCCGAGGGGAATAAAAGCAGCGGAGAGCGAGAGCTCCTGGCTGCCGGTTCTGGGAGTGGACCCGTCTCGTAGACGCCATCGTCGTCGTTGCCGCTGCCGCCTTCACCCGATCATCGCGCGGTCGAAGCCGTCGGTGCAACGCGGACAGGGTCTTGTCTGGGGCTCGGCACGCGGCAGCGGGGTCGTGTGTCAGAGAGAGAGAGGGGGGGGGGGGGTCCCGAGTGGTGGCGTGAGCTCGGCAACAACAGCAACGAATGAAGAGGGCAGAGGGGTGCCTGCTGCGACCACCTCGTCTCCGGCTGGCAGTGTGTGCGATGCACGACACCCACACGCACAGACGACACTACATATGTAGAATAATAATATACATATAGTAGAGTTATAGGCTAATCATTCATATTGTATATGGGGTTAAAAAAACAGCCCGTAGCTATTTAAGTTAAAAGTGAGTCGGGAGGGACAGGCGTGCGAGCCCACAGTCGGATGTTGCCTAGCCCACACTGCAGTGTAAGGAGTCGTCGATTCTCTGAGCCACTTCTCAGCGCCTTGCCCGCTAGACGAGTTCCTAGACGGGGCTCTGCGGGCTCCTCCCCCCACCCAGCTACCCCCTCCCGCGGGAGCCTCCACCCAGCGGCGGCTCCACCCGGTGGTGGCGACTCACGGTAAAGGTGGCAGCCCGGGGTCGCGGGGTCCTGGGGCAGCGCGGCGCTGAGGGCGAGGAGGGCCAAAGCGGAGATTGGGCCCATCGCGATCGACGCCGTGATGAGCACAGGGTAGAGTCTAGATCACGGGGTAGAGTTGAAAACACGGGGTAGAGTTTAGAACACGGGGTAGAGTCTAGATCACGGGGTAGAGTTTAAAACACGGGGTAGAGTTTAGAACACAGGGTAGAGTCTAGATCACGGGGTAGAGATTAAAACACGGGGTAGAGTTTAGAACACAGGGTAGAGTCTAGATCACGGGGTAGAGATTAAAACACGGGGTAGAGTTTAAAACACGGGGTAGAGTTTAAAACACGGAGTAGAGTTTAGAACAGGTTAGAGTGTAGGACTCAGGGTAGAGTCTAGGTCACGTGGTAGAGTCACGGACACGGGGTGGAGTCACGTGGTAGAGTCTAGGACACGAGTCTAGGACACAGGGTAGAGTGAAGGACACGTGGTAGAAATATCGTGATTGTTGAGGTTTTGATCGCGTTGGTTGTGGTCGTGATTGTGCTGCTCGTTGTTGTTGTGGTTGTGGCAGTTGTAGCGGTGGTAGTTGTGGTGGTTGTTGGATCGTACCTGTGCGGTCTGGAGTCGGTGTAACGTGGTCAGACCCTGGCCGGAGGAGAGTTTCAGTGAAGGAGAGAGTCTTAGTTCGTTGAGAGGGAAGAGCAAAACACTTCGAGTGAGAGTGAGAGAGTCAAAGTGAAGTGAGAGCGAGAGAATTAAGGCGGAGTGAGGAGGGGGAGCGGGAGGGGTTAATGTGAAGTGAGGGGAGAGTCTAAATGACGTGAGAGGGAGAGCGGGAGAGGGTAAATGTGGAGTGAGGGGGGGGGGAAAGACTGGGTGGAGTGAGAGGGTTAATGTGGAGTGAGAGGGTAAATGTGGAGTGAGAGGGTTAATGTGGAGTGAGAGGGAGAGTGGAGTGAGGGGGTTAATGTGAAGTGAGAGGGTTAATGTGGAGTGAGGGGAGAGTGGAGTGAGAGGGTTAATGTGGAGTGAGGGGGGGAGAGAGAGGGTGGAGTGAGAGAGAGAGTGGAGTGAGAGGGTTAATGTGGTGTGAGAGGGTTAATGTGGAGTGAGGGGGAGAGTGGAGTGAGAGGGAGAGTGGAGTGAGAGGGTTAATGTGGAGTGAGAGGGTTAATGTGGAGTGGGAGGGAGAGTGGAGTGAGAGGGTTAATGTGGAGTGAGGGGAGAGTGGAGTGAGAGGGTTAATGTGGAGTGAGAGGGTTAATGTGGAGTGAGGGGGAGAGTGGAGTGTGTTGTATATGTTGGTTATGAAAATTTGTTATGTTGTATGCGTGCGTGGGTGAATTATTATGTTGTACGTGTGGGTTATGAATATTCAGTGGAAATAATAATAATTAATGAAATTTGGCCAAATGTGTAATTATCCGGAAATATGTTAATTATGTAATTACGCACATTTTAATTATGCCAATTCGAGAGGTAATCGTATTAATTATGCGAGTGGGTGTAATTATGATAACGCAAGTCGTTATGATAACCAGACCCCGGTTCACCCCGTTATCGCTTTAACATTTACTGAGTATGTATTAGTGTGTTTATTAAGGTCACCAAGTTCAAATCTCAACGCAGAAGCAGATCTTATGCATAGATTTCAGGAAAGAATCACACAACCACTTCTGTATTGATCAATTTATTACTAATTCAACCTTAACTATGATATAGTATGCGAACTCTCAATCCCGGAACGTCAATACGGCATCAATACAGTATCATCAACGATTGTCTGATTTCACTTTGACAACTGCACATGGATCCCGCATAACGCGATGGTTGTTAGTGAGAGAGAGAGAGTCGTTGAAATATGCAAATATTATGCTAAGAAAACTTTAACGTTAATGAATGATTATACTCAATATTGTTCACGCAGTACCGCACTCCTTATTGACCATACGCAACCCTTATCACGTTGTTAACACCTTGGGTCACGGGACAGTTGAATATTCTGTAGAGGATGCGAGTACGTGCGGCGATTATGACTGAAAGATACTTGAAAGATTATACGGCGATAAAAAAACACAATCAAAACAGTTATTATTCTTAAAG